GCCTTCCTCGTCCTCGGGCGCGTCGCAGCTGATGTTCTGGGCGGTGATGATGGCGATGCTCCCCAGGATGACCCCCGCCCCCGTGATGTCAAAGGGCGTCACCGCTTCCCGCAGGACGTAATACTGCAGGGCGAGGGTCACCACCACCTCGGAGTGCAGGACGGCGCACACCAGGGCCGGGTGGACTTTCGTCACCGCGTAGCTGGCGCACAGGAAGGACGCCAAGGCGCAGGTGCTGATGGCCGCCACGCACACCCACGTCAGGGGATCCACGGGCACGACCGGGTGTTGCAGGAGGAACATGGCCGGGAGGCACAACAGACTCCCCACCGTGCCGAAGAGGAAGACGACCGTCACCAGCTTGGCCGGGAAGTCCAGGCCCCGGAAGATGACCAGGCCCAGGGCCAGCAGCACCCCTCCCATGCACGCCAAGATGTAGCCGACCGCGTCGTAGAGTTGGGTGCTCTCGTCCAGGTTCAGCAAGTCCGGGACCACCATGATGAGCACCCCCAGCGTGCTGCCCACCAGCCCGAACCAGTCGTAGCCCGTCAGGCGGTAGTTCTCGATGCAGAAGGCCAGCAAGATGGAGCAGATGGTGGACGACCCCTTGCGGACGGTGGTGGCGTTCCCGCTGGGCACCACCATGAAGGAGGTGTAGGCGAAGCCGATGGAGATGACGTTGACGAAGGCGTGGAAGAGGGCCCGCTTGCGGGAATCCGGGGGCCCGCAGCAGGGGATCTGCTGGTAGCGGATGCAGCTGAGGGAGAAGAGGTGGAGGGTGCAGCGGAAGAGGAGGATCTCCAGGGAGGGGATGCCCGAGGTCTCGTTGGCTATGCGGGTGAAGAGGGCTGCGAAGCCGGCGGGCACCCCGCCCCCAAAGAGGGCGATCAGCAGGCCCGTCATGCTGTCCGACGGGCGGTAGCGGTTCCAGGCTGGGCGGTGTGGAGGGGGCGGGGAAGATGGAGGGGAGAACCGTAACAGGTCTGCCCTGGTCCAGGAGGCTCGGGGAAGGATCCGGCAGTCGGACGCCATGCTGGCCCCTGCTGCGGTGGGTGGAAGCTCGGGAACCGACGACGCGGGTCCCCCGTGGAGTCGTGGATTGGCCCTAGGGGAGAGAACGGAGAGCATCAGGACAGCTGTGGTCTAGATCCCAGTTCTGCCTTTGCCGTGGAGTCTGTGGTAGTCTCAGGCGCTTCAGCCTCCATGTGTAGAATGGAAATGAAACCGGCCTACCTCAGAGGGCTGTTGTGAGGATG